TCTCTCTCTCTGTGTGTGTGTGTGTGTGTTAGGTCTCCCCGTTCCTCTCTTTTGCCTTCTAGTATTTCTGCCCCTGCTTCCAGACTATGTTTCTCTAGTGAATCGTGGTGTTTCAGGACTTACGACAAAAGTACTCGCTTTGAACTTTGAGGAGAATTTTTTCAAACAAACCTGTGATCTACATCCTCCAAACATTCGTTAACATGAAATAAACACATTCTTTGTTCAGTGTCGGTGGTTGGGGCGCGGGTGCTCTCGTGTGGTTTACTCCTTCTTTCCTATCAAACATCTATCGTCCTTATCTCTCCTCCTTCTTTTTGTGTATCTTACTATCTTGTAAGACCTAATTTTTGGGCAATTATATGACCTTATTGTGTTGCTAGTTCCGTAAAACTCTTACTAAACTAAACTCTTTGTTCAGTACAATGAAAACCAGTTCAATGTAAGTGACGGGTTAGCATTTTCTCTAAAAGCTTTGGTGACAGTCGTGTTCCCGAGGGACCTATCTGTCTGTCGGTCGGCCCCAGGACGGAGAAGTCTTCAGTGAAACTGTGGTCCTTGGCTATACAGTCAGAATAATGTTTTCAAACAGACACAGTGGATCTGTACAGGTGTGAATTGTGAATTGATACCCGATCAGAGACAGCGAGCGACCTTGTCAGTACGTTAGCGTTTTAGTGCCTGTGAAATGGCCGCTTGCACTGTATGCTTCCCAAAAAGTTAAGATTGTTTCAGAATGCTATCACGTCTTCTGGAGATAATAATATTATTTTAGTATAGATTATAAAGCGCATAGAGCTTGCTGTTGAGCGGGAATTTGCACCGTACTATTAATGCTATTTAGTATTTATCCATTATCATTCTCAGTGCAAAAGTAAAATGATGATGGAGTTCAAAGGAATCAGGTTCAGTTTACTGTGTACGACAAAAAGATTGGGGGTGAAGCAGGAGGTTGGGGCGTTATCAAGTGGAGGCACCTATGGATGTCATCTCTTTGGAAGTCTCCCCCCCC